AATCATAATTGAAACTGTGTGGAAGTAAGTGGTGAAAATTTTAGAATTTATTCTGAAATTCAATAGTTTAGCTAAAAAGATGACAAGAATTTAATTAAAATATAGAATTTTGAGTCTAATTTAGAATGATAATAAAAATAGTATTAATATAAAATTTCACGTGTAATTTTAGAACAATATATGTTTGATTTCATTAAATATAATGGAAATTAGAATATATTATTTCAATTTTAATTTACCAACACACACACATGTATTGCCTAGTGGTAGAAATAAAAGACATACAATGGACCTTAGTATGAGATTTATTGTTTCAATATCTAAATGGGCCGGGAACAATGCACATTAAAAACAAGTGTAATGTAGTTTTGGACTGAATTTTATAAGCAATTTTAATTATATAATATACATCATGATTAATTTAATTAATTAATTAATTAAACAAATTGCGTAGGAAAATAAGAGTGGACCGTCTTCGTCAAACAACATGTGCTGCTCCTACACTTGTTCACGTTAATGTCACAAGTCATGGATTCTGTTGCTTAGTGGCCAAATGTCTCATATATATATATATATATATAATGATGAATGCATGATTCGAATTATATATGAATAGAGAAGACCCATTGATTCTAGATCTGAAATATCTAATTAATGTTGAGTAATTTCTACCTTAAAAAAAATTAATATCAACTTGTAATTCCTAATTAAAATTTAGATATACAATTAATTGAAGTATAAATTATTAATTAAAAAAAAAGGAAGCCTTTTTCAACCATTCCACTTAATTAATTTTGAGGGGGCATCACAAGACATATGTGACTTTCATAATGTATATCAGTGGTACTAGAAGGTGGTAACATGTGTGTATAATATATGCATATATATATATATATTGTTGTATTTAATTTGGTAGGGCCTCCATAACATAAGTGTATGGTATGATTGTTTTGGATCAGGATGTGTTGTGTCTTGCTCATAAAGAAAATCCCAAGGTTGGTGAAATCATAAAACCATATCTTATATCATTTTTTCACGTATATCATCAGCTAACACATGTAGAGGTATTGAAAACATTAAGATTTTCATTAGCGATAAATTTGTTTGATTTTATTTTTTAATATTTTAAATAAATCTAATCTTCTCCTCTATGTATATATATCAATAGGTAGCATCATCTATCTTTATAAATATTAAAGTAAAATTATTATATTTAAATTGCACAATTCAAACGTAGAACAACTAAAAATACAATATATCCATTACACTTAAACTTCAAATGTAAATAATAACGTATGAAAATATTATTTATAAATATAAAATATACATGTTCAAGTATAGAAATGGTAGTTCTTAAATTAAAACAAGATAAATATTAGCGTTATATATCATATCATATAATAAAAATAGTTAATTTTTGACTTACCTCATGACACGGTCACCGCTGAAATTGTTGTCTGCAAATCAAGTTTTTTCTTTTTTGTTTTATTTTTTAATTTTTAATTTTGTATTAAATAAAGAGACAAATTTAAATATTTTAAAATAATAAAAAGGTGAAATTAATATTTTAGGTACTATTGAAAGTGTTTTATTTGTTTTCATAATTGACTAAATCATTTTTAGTTTACTTCATTTCATGTTTTTATATTCACTGTTTATGCTCTCTTCTACTTTTGGTCCATTGATTTCACTTTAAATTGGCCAACAACAATGTATCTTAAAAAGTTCATAATTTTATCTTTTTTTTTTATATATATAAAAAGCTAAAAATAACTAATTTTTCATCATACAATTTTATAAATTATCTAATTTATAAATTATTAGACGTTTGTCAAATACATTAAAAAATTAAAAATATCATCAATTATAAATAAATTATCATAATTGCTTTTCACAATTAATTTTCTTTTATTGATGACACCTTTTTTACTGTTCTTCCTCAAAAAAAATTACCTCTCGTCTCATTGAACATTTCATATGATCGTCATGATCTCACGTTGATATAAAAAATAATAATAATGAGTTTGGACCCACCCGTTTATAGACCGGCCCGAAATCCATTCAAGGCCGACCCACGTACACGTGGCAAGAGATAAGAAGAAGCTAAGTGTGGGTGAGCCACACGACAATAACTGCTTTCCGTTTTTGTCTTGTGATTCTTAAAGTTTTCGCACGTGTGGCGTCACACATGACAAAACTAACTGACATGCTCACACGTGACAGCTTCCGCTTTCGCGCCATCTCAAGCCTTGGGCTATCTGCATCGCATCTGTTGTGTTGTGAGCTTCGGTGAAGGACGCGAGGCCAGCTTCTTCATACAATCATTGTGTGGGGCCCACTTCGTTAAATTACGTATATACCCTTCATGATGTCCGATTAACTTAAAAAGTCCAAAGCGCGTGGTAAATGGGTTGAAATGACGAATCTGCCCTTATATGGAAAAGAGACGAGCAATTTAATTTAATTTAATTTTTTATTTGGTGGAAATGAAGCGTGATGGAAGGAATAACGTGAGGTGTGTACAAATTCGTTGGACAAAGTAATTTTATAATTTTCCAACATGAAAGTAATCAATTCCATTCTTAGTAGAAAACAACATGGATGTGCGAGCATATATATATATATATATATATCTCTCTCTCTCTCTCTCTCTAGTGGTGGATTAGATTCATAATTTTTTAATAAAAATAATAAGCTTATTGTCAAAAAATAATTTGGAAATAAAATCTCACTATACGGTATATTTTAATTGTAATATAAATAATAATTTAAAAAAAAAATTAAAAAATATATGAAAATTTTGAAACGCAAATAAATTTTAATAATTACTTAGTGGGTATTTGAGCGGAATATAACAATAATATTTAATGAGGGTAATTTAGTGAGGGTGATATTTTGAGGCTAAATAGTAAGACTAATTACTTTTTTTTTTAATTTTAAATACATAAAATATATAAATATAGTTTATAATTCTCGCAGTTTTTTTATTATAAAAAGAGATTTATACTCACAAAAATCAAAATATTAAAAACTAAGCTTCTATTTAGTATGAGAAAACATTATTTGGTGTTAGTTTCTTAAATTTGTATATGTTTTATTTATAAAATTATACGAATTATTTAACAATAAAAATTATGAAACTAATTATGAAATTAAAAAATTAAAAAATTTATTCTTAGTGTTTTTAACAAAATTAATTTATTTTTACTTAGAATTGTATAAATATACAGCTGTTATATATTTATATGAATGCGTAACTATAAATTTATTTTTTAAAAAAACACATAATTTTAAGAAAAAAAAAACATTCTATATATCAAATATAACCCAAATCATATTAATTCTATATATTTGGAAATTGAACAAAATGAAATTTTAAAAGTGGTATGCACACCCACCCACATATATATATATATATATATATATATATATATATATATTACATATTATGCATTTTTCTCAACAGTAGCGAATGAGACTACTCACCATTACTTCATGAAAAAGTACCATCCTTTACTTAAAACAATATTTGATATGGATAAATATATAATATTACAGTTGTCGAACATAATACTAAACACTTTTTTATTAATTTAAAAGAGAAATACATAAATAGTAAATTTTTGAGATACTTACCCATTTAATCATTTTAAAGATCACAAAATATTTCTTTTTGAATTTATACAAAAATAATTTAAAATTTTTGTAAATAATTTTTTTATTTTT